ATATCTGTAGGCATCTCTTTCTCTGCATGATTACCCATGTTATGGTTCACTGGCCAGGAAAGCCCATATGTAGCTTTTCAGACTCAGTTAAATTTTGTACTGCAGATTGTGTTCTCAGTAAAATCCAAAGAAAGCAGCTGTGCCTGCCTGGAATAGCAACTGACTACCTGCTGTGTGCAAATGCACACACCCCCCATGCCCATTCATGTTAACCCACATGTTAGCATAGGACATTGGGGATAGATAACAGCAAAACTGTAGCCCTAGCCAAAATCTTTTTTTTTTAAGAACAGAACACAATTTTAAGCAAAGGACAAAATAGGGATGGAAATAGGGAATCAAAAGGGAATTAAGGGAGTCCATAGTCCCTACATGTTGCAGCCTGTTTTGAAGGTATCACACAACTCAGTTCCTGCTCTTGGGAGTTCCTTCTTCTTCTTCTTGTGCCATATCCATTATCGGACGTTGGTGATCATGTTGGCGATTCTGTTTTTATCAGCAGCCGCACGAAAAAGTGCTGCTGAGTTTTGTCCAAACCAATCCTTTAGATTTTGAAGCCATGATGTTCTTCTTCTGCTTGGACCTCGTTTGCCTTCAATCTTTTCCTGGAGGATTAAATGGAGTATGCCGTATTTTTCTGGGTGTCGCATCACATGTCCGAAATATTCTAATTTTTGTTTTTTAATTGTTTTGATGATTTCCCTTGGCTTTCCCAGGCGGCTTATCACCTTCTCATTTCTGATCTTGTCAACCCAGCTTATATGTAACAGCCGCCTGTAAATCCACGTTTCAAATGCTTCTAGTCTCTTCAGGTGGCCTTCTGTCAGAGACCAACTCTCTACTCCATAGAGCAGGATAGAAAAAATATAGCATCTGACAAGCCTGATTTTCAATCTTAGGCTTATGTCGTGACTGCAGAAGACCTTTTTCATTTTTAAGAATGTTGTTTGAGCTTTCTCTATCTTTGTCTTTACTTCAGTGGTCATGTCCCAGCTTTCATGTAAATTAGAACTGAGGTGCATGATCCTTTCAACTTTTTCTAATGGTTTTCCTTCCAAATTTATTGGTGGTAAATTAACAGGTTGTTTGCTGACGACCATGATCTTGGTTTTTGAGGTGTTAAGCTTCAAGCCATATTTTTCAGATATTTCTGTGACTCTGTTGATGAGGAGCTGAAGGTCTTCATGCTTACTGGCAAGCAGAACTGTATTATCAGCATATCTTAAGTTGTTGATCCAAACACCGTTTTCTTTGATGCCAGCGACGATGTTCTCCAGTCCCTCGTTGAAGATTGACTCAGAGTAGATATTGAACAACAGTGAAGGCAGAATACATCCCTGTCTGACCCCTCTTCTTATTTCGGCATCAGCTGAGTATTTTTGGCCTAGTCTCACATTTGCTACCTGATGCCAATATACTGTAGATCCTTTATGATTTGGATTTTTTTGTCATCTAGTCCCCCTTGTTTCAGGATTTCTGATAGTTTGCTGTGTCTTATTTTATCAAATGTTTTTTCAAAATCAATGAAGCACATGTAGGAGTTCCATAGATGTCTAATCATCTCTTGTCCTTACACTTCTGAAATGTGGAGAAAGCAGCAGTTAGAATTAAGAAGAGGAGAAACTGCTCCCCTCACCTTTTGACAGGGACTATCAAAGAGAAGTGCCACATTGTGCATTGATCCAAGAGCAATAGAATTGGCTGCTCATTACCATAAGCACAGGATGCACAATTGAAACAATAAGTGTAGGTTGTAGGTTGTAGGTTGTAGGTTGTGTTTTCATACATAGTTATTCATGTGTAGACTCTTGTCAATTTATGTACTTTTACTGAAAATTCCATCAGATGAATTCCCAGTGTACTTCCATCCTCTCCATATTGCAGTATAGGAAAGAGAAATTTTGACATGGCAGTGACAAAGATTGTGAGAGAATGGATCCAGCATCACAGCATCGCGACTTTGTGCTGTCCTGTGTGCCAGTAGGGCAGTAATATTAAATTACTATTAATTCAATACTACTATTCAGTACTGTTATTAAATTATTATTAAATCTCCACCTATAGTTCAGCTTCTTCTGCCCTGAGGTGGCGTTCTTGGTGCTCTCTGAGCTTGGTTATTTGCTTGCAGACATTTCATTACCTGATAAGTTAATATTATCAGTGCTACTGAGTGTGTGCTTTTTCCTTGGTATTTCCTGAATGGTTTGGATGGAAACCTTTATAATTTGTAGCAGGGTATCACATTTTGCTGAGCCAAGTCCTGCATGGTGGATTTGCAAGGTGGAATATCTAGCAGTAGCAGATATATGAATCCCTGTGAATGCCACCTGATTGCCAGGTTTTGTACTACTCTCATAGAATCATACCCATACCCATATCCTGGCAACCTCCAGCTGGGGGGAGACTGATGCTGGTGATCCAAAGGCTGCTAAAAAGAAATAGCAGGTCAAATATAAAGTTCAGCTTTCCCTCAACACCCATCCCACAACCTGGGTACTCATAACTGCAAGAATACCTGCTTTCCCTAGTATTGTCATAGAGTGAAAAGAATATTTTTGCATGCTTGTGTTGCTCTGGTGAGATTGAGTTGGAATCCAAGCCTCATAGCACATGTATCACACTATAAGTGGGAGAAGGTGGGGGGAAAGAAAGAAGATTGTTAAGTCCTTTTTCATGTTAAATTTGGTACATTGGTATACAGGTGTTTCAGGTTTAATCAGAAAACTTTGCATACCTCTGCAGAAATAGTCTGTACAAAGGGCCTGACCATCCCCCATTGCCACATATTTTCGGTAACAGTCTGGTGCTGATTGACCAGATGCCTCCCATTGTATGTACACCTTTTCCTCTTTGTACTTCATCCACACCTGGTGGGTCATGGGTAATTGGTAGCAGTTCCATTCCAGCTCTTATGATGTCCTCCAGTAAACTGTAGAGCAGAGCAGGCAATAATTGCAACTCATTGCCCCCACATCCCCGTGTAGAACCAGGATAATTTCTTCAGTAGCAATGTTAGAGAAAAGGGCAATGGAGTAAAGGAACTGATAGGCAACACCGACTAATCACATTATTGTTGCAGCAACTCCTATCTAACAAACAATGAATCTGGATGCTGAGACAAGACAGTCTGACATACCACAAATAGAAAAGAATAAGAGGATCATTCATTCTCCACCATGCAACAACCATAACGCATAAACCACATGCAGCCCTCTGAGTTCTGTTCTCTGAGTAACATATTGACACATGGGTTGCACATGCTGACCCCTCCACTCAAGCAGTTGGTTACACAATGGGCCACCTTTCAACAGAAAAAAATGTGTATGTGGGTGGTAAATCTACATTATCCCAGTGAAGGCAAAATGAAATCCAATATAGCAGCCATCCATGACCCAATTAAATGCTCATGACTATAGTGTATATGACTACAGTCAAGCTTTTAATGAACATGGGTGATTCCTTTGCAATAGGGGACAGCATTACATCTTCATGGGTGGATGACAGTATGATGAAAATGTTGGAAAAAATGAGTTGAAGCATGTGGCAATCTCTGAACACATTATATGAAGCAGTCTGTAACATTACATGGTGACTATTAGTTGGTAATCTGACTGCCATATGCTGCCCCTGGATGGATACCAATAATACATTGTGGATGTGAGTGAGGGTGTGCATTGTGCAAGTACAAAGATTCTGAATATTCTGTAGCGTGGCAGAGCATAAAAAACCCAGAGGTGAGTTAATGTGAATCTGCCTTTTCTCAATATAAATTAAAACATGCACAACATTACAATAATAAGTCAATGTTGCATAAGTAAAGCAAAAAATCAGCAATATTTCCTTTCCTTTAAATATAAGCTACTTAGTTCTCGTATTGGGCAATTCAGATCCTGAACCTAGAGTAGCATTATTCATCAATTCTTCACTCTATCAGTGAAATCAGTTAATGAAGAATTCTGCTGCTTATCCTCTGAAAGATAAATTTAAAAAAAAACACAGAAAACTATAAGCATTTTTCTAAAAGTGCACTTGTAATAATAGCATTTCCTCTGCTAGCAAAGCAGTAAATGCTCCAGTTGGAAATGGTTTGGTTGTAACTTTATGAATTTTGGCATTAAATTGCCCAAGGTGTCCTTTTAAAAATCCCATGAGAAGAAAAGGTTAGATCTGCATCAATTCTTAAAAGATTCGTCGTTTCTTTTTCCCCCCTGAAATTATCTGCTAATCTCTGATCATATCTGCCTGTAAAGATTGCCTATTGTAACACAATTTACAAAAGCAACTGACATTGTACCTGTTGAGATGAGAAAGAAAATTTGTTTTCTTGCTCTTTGTATGTCCTATCTTTATGCTAAGGTTACCAAAAAAAAAAAAAATGCAATGCAAAATTAAATTAGAGGCTGACGCCTATTCCACGATGAATTTAAAACGGCCAAATAGTCGATAGCAAAAGGAAAAGAAAAAAAAAATCTGACATTTGTATTATTTCCACATTCTTCCTTGGGCGCAGTTGCTATTCTCCGCTTTCCCAAAGCAAAAACAACACAACAGCAAACACCCCAATCTAACACAGCGCGCACGGTCAACCTGCATAAAAGGAGGAGTCCGGCAGTTTCTTTTTTTTGTGAGAATCCACTTTCAGTCTCGAAGCAAACTTTGCTCCAATCCGAAGAGGGCAAGGCGGAGTTTCCTAAGTTGGGACGCGCTGCCTGGTGCTCTGGCAACTGGTCGAGCGTGGGGGCTCCGTATTGCGTATATGATAATCAGGGCGGCAGAGGCGTATTGCGCTTCTCTGCCTCCCCGTGGCTACGGTGCCTTCTTATGCGTCCGCCGCCGCCGCCGCCGCCTCATAACTTCTTATATAAGTGTTAAAGCGGCCGCCTGCTCAAGATGAACGCCTCTTGGCTTCGCAGTCCCGTCAAAGCACCGTTGTCAAGATCCCTTGGGAAAAGGTAGCTGTGCCTGGAGCGTAGAAGTGCCGGGACCACCAGCAGCAGGTCCTGCTGGTATCATGAGTTGCTCGGATGTGGTGAGGCATCAGGCGCAGGCGACGTGTCACCCGTCCCAGGTGAAACTGCCCGCAGCGTCCGCCGTGTGTTCCACGAGTCCTTGCCCGTTCTCCAGCCCAGCGGTGACGCCGAGCCAACAGGTGAGAGACTCTTAACAAGTCAACGGGAAAGCTGTCGTTCTCATAGTGGGCGGAGAAAGCAGACATGGGAATAACGGACTCGGCTAGTCCCATTTTTGGAAGAGGTGGGATGGATGAACCCAGGAGTGAGAAAAAAAAAATGATGAAGTGTCTGTTCAAAAAGGATGTTTAGAAGGGGATGAGGGTCTTTGTAGTTTAACCAATGCTGTGTATCACTTAGGAGCTTGACTACTGGTATTAGCTCCTTAGGTGAACATACCTGGTTGAACAGACTGGCTGGTTGCTCTGTTCTGAGACCTGTCTTCAGCCACACACCACATACACAAACGTTCTTCTGGCATTCTTTAATCTAGGAGTAATACTCATCTCTTCAACATGCAGGCTACAAATAAAAGGTCATATGAATCCAATCAGAGGCAGTGTTTTACTCAGTCACTTGCTCACAGTTGTATTCATGAACACATGCTTTGGCTTACTACCAACACCTTATACGTAGCCTTACAAACCTTAGTCTGACTATGATCCAAAATGATCCTACATGGAAAATGGCAGTTTATCTTTGCCACCACATGAGTATTTGGGCAGGCTCTGAGCAGTATGGGTGTATGGGTGGCTTCAGCCACCGTCATTTGATGAAGGGTCTGCTCAAATAAGGAGTACTGGAACTTCGTGTCTGGAGGGGCCTGGGTGGTTTTGATAGCTAGATGGCTGAAACTAAAGAGCAATGGTTATCAGATGAGCAGAGTCTTAACAAGGAACCTGTAAGAGGGCTGCCTGGGTGGCAGGAGAGAAGGTGCTGCCGCTTCAGTAGCACAAAAGTACTGGTGGTACTTCATACTTAAAGTTATTTCCCACCAGACAACATGGAGGTGTCAGTATCAGAGGATTGTGGGAGATACAGCCAGCTTGTTGTTTTTTCTTTTTTCTTTTTTACCAATTCTGTGCTCAAGGCTGGCAGGTTTCTTGAGTTATTCTTTTCTTGGAAGGTGAAAAACTTTGTGAAGACAATATTGAGAGCCACTGTATCTCTTTTTTTGAGTCACCTGAGATCTGTTCAAAGTTCTGCTACTGTCTTAGAAGTTGTAAGGTCAGCCTGCTTGCATAAATTGCTAAAAAGAAGGGATGTTGGGGTTGTGAATTCATGATTTCACTATTAATTCTGAATAAAAGCTGGAGGTAGTCCTTAAGGAAAGCTGCTTTTCTGCATTTATGCCCAGAAACAAGTCACATTAAATTCATATGGTCTTTTACTTATGAGCAGGGCTTTTTTTTGTCATAGAACGCACCGGAACAGAATTCTGGCATCTTTTTTCAACATATTTTCCAGAGTTGGCTTGAACAAAATCCTAGTCTTTTAGATACACTAAACATTGAAGGGGATTTTTTTCAACTACAAAGGTAAACCTTGTAGGGTAGGCAAGGCGGGTTGTATGACGTGTGTGAGTTCCAGCACCTTTTTATATATTTTTTTTTTACAAAAACACTGCTTATGAGTACAAGTATTCAGAATAAATAAGAATTTTCTTTTAGAAGGAAATGTACCTTTGTCTTGTCTAACTTAAAAATAGGTTCCAGGAAAACCTTTGAGGTTTGTTATAGTGAAAATTTGATCATTATGATGATTGTAGACCCTAAGGCAAAGTAAGTCACTTCTTAAATGGAAAGCCTAATCAGTTTTGAGTTTTAGTCTTTTAGATATGTCACCAGAAATACAGTGTCCCATAATTCCAAAGAGAAAGTTGGTCTGTTACAGTAAACATGTTAAAAACTATAAGACATATTACTATAAACTATATCATGATGGTCTACAATCCTTGCATAAGATTATTTGATTAACTGAGTTGTAATGCCTAGAAATATAGAGTCTCAGTAAATTAATATATTTCTGCTAAAAGTGCCACAAGACTATGTTGCTTATATTGTTTCAACTGCTTGTTGTTTGTTTTTAATTAGGTCTATTATTCTTGAGATGAGTATTATGTCAGTTCCAAACAAAATTAAGAATTATATGAATCAAATGTCTGCATATATATTTACCATGGCAGCAGTTTCAACAGATGTGCTTATTAAATACAATTCCATTGACTTCTTTGCTAAATGGGTGCAGAATGCTCTGCCAAAATTTAATAAACGATAGAAAGCAGCACTTTTTGATCACAGTATGTATTTTAAAGAATAATGAAAAAATTACACAGAAAATTTTATTTTTGAAATTCAGTTTTTATCCCTTGACTTAAGAATCTGATATAGCAGAATAAATCCGGACATTCTTATCAGGATGACAGCACTTTTAGACTATGCTGTGCGTGGGTGAAGTGGGACTAATATTGACTTGGCCCCAATATAGTCATCTGAGAATTCATTCTTTTTTTTTGGTTTTTACTGCATTCCATGAGGTTTTATCATTATTATGCACACACACACAAAAATGTTTTCTCCATACATGGGAAGTAACCCTTAATACCATCTTGGTTGGAATTCACAAATATGGTCTAAACTCCAATGATTTCTGTTTTTTTTTATTTCTACTACTGTAAGAGCAGTTTTATCAAAGTCAAGCTAATTATTTCAAGCCCATCCTGCAGTATATTAGTGTCATTTATATTGGCAGAGCAATATAAATTTGGACCTTTCCCCTTCAGTTGAATTGTAACTGATTTTTGGATGTAAGTTTTCAAGTTTATTTACAGTAGAATAGAATAGAATAGAATAGAATAGAATAGAATAGAATAGAATAGAATAGAATAGAAATAACTTTATTGTCACTTTGAATGTACACTAATCGGCATACATTAAAATGAAATTTCATTGCATTCAGCTCTCAAAGGGTCATTCAGCTCTCAAGTAATATTTATTGATTTATCATTTAAAATTGTATGACATTAATATCTACTTTGGATAAACATATGTCAAGAAGCAGATGTTTTTCATATCTAGAAATCTAAACTGCTTTGAAACATTATAATTTATTTTTTTAAATCCCATTTTTCTAATAGAATATTAGGGTATCATATCATAATAGGTGAAGTTTTTTTGTAAAAAGGGAAAATTTTGAAAATAGTTGTCTTTAAATTGGGCTGTTTTTTCTAGCATAATTGTCTAGTTTTTTAGAAAATGATTAAGACTTACTTCCAAGAAATTAAGCACATGATTGACATCATAATTCTTCTGTTTTCTATATTATTATTTATTCAGTTTAAATCTGCACAAAAATACCACAAAGAATTTGCTTTTGGCAAATAAGAAACATCTTAAAGCTGAATAACACTGAAATAATAAATTGCTGGCATTCTTCTCTTTTTTATCAAAATCTATGGCCTCTGTATTTCATATTTGAATTCTTACTCGATTTTCCACTATTCTGAAACATTCAGAAAGGCTTGTTTTATTTCTTTCTTTTTTTCCTATCACAAGCAAATAACCAGATGGGAAATATAAAGGGGATCCTAATAGGCCATGATAGTAGCTAATTAGCAAACGTCCTACTATGTAGAATGGGACATGAGTGCAGTTGTAACAAATACATAATCTATATTCATTTTCATATGTTAATGATCATTGACTTTTCTGATATGTAATTATGTATTGTTCTGTTGTCTATCAATTTTTTTCTCCTTAGAATAAAATAGTTGTATACAGCAAGATGCAAGAAACTCTGGAATTGACACTTTCTAATAAGCAAGAGGAAGATGACAAAGATCAGCCTACTGAAATGGAATACCTTAATTCTCGCTGCGTCCTTTTCACTTACTTTCAGGGAGACATTGGCTCAGTGGTGGATGAACACTTCTCAAGAGCTTTAAATCAAGCTAACAACTTTAATTCAGAGGCTGTTCTTTCAAAAACCAAAACAGATTTATGTAGAGGTAAGTTTTGAGAAGAAAACTAAATTGCACATTGTTTTCTTCATAGATATGTAAAAACACATATTGTGATTTCTTTCAGCTTACTATATTACCTTTATTTAAAGAACAAAAACAATACAGTGCTACACAAAACCATACCTTTATCTGCAACCAGCACAAAATATATGCAACTAGAGAAATTGGGGTAACTAGATGGATGGAATCTAAATACGTAAATGTGTAAAAACGGTTGGGAATGTTTTATTTATTATTATCCTTTAATATATAGATAAATAAAAAGTAAGAATAATTTAAAATTCAAAAGACAAAGGAAAGCAATAGAAATAGATTTGAGAGCTCCTCAAAGGTCATTCCAAATTGGGGAAAAGGTTTATTTGTTCACAAAATATTTACAGCTTAAGTTACCTAGTAGGAAGTTAGGACCAAGATACTTAGGACCCTTCCCTATCATAAGGATCATTAACCCAGTCACGGTAGAATTAAAGCTTCCCAGACTCCTAGGAAAAGTCCACCCTATGTTCCATTGTAGCCTGCTGAAACCTTTTTGGGATTCCACCTTATGACCTCCCCCTAAAAAGGCACCTGGACCTCTCCACCATTGAGTTCGCAGATTCAGCCGCCCCATTGGTAGATGGGAGAAAATCCGACGACAATCCTTGAGACTGCCTCAAAATTCTTTTGAAGGGTTTCATCTGTCGGAACCATGACAGATATCACATATAGAGAAAATTATTTGCCCAATTTTAAACGTATCTGTGTGATTATGTGGAATAACATTGGTCATTATATCAATTGAGTTTCAGTTAATAGATAAAATGAACATGAATATAATATAATAGAATAGAATAGAATAGAATAGAATAGAATAGAATAGAAACGGAAGGGACCTTGGAGGTCTTCTAGTCCAACCCGCCCGCTCAGGCAGGAAATGCTATACCATTTCAGACAAATGGTTGTCCAATCTCTTCCTAAAAACTTCCAGTGTTGGAGCATTCACAACTTCTGGAGGCAAGTTGTTCCACTGGTTAATTCTTCTAACTTTCTTCTTAGTTCTAGGTTGTTTCTCTCCTTGATTAGTTTCCATCCATTGCTTCTTGTCTTGCCCTCAGGTGCTTTGGAGAATAGCTTGACTCCCTCTTCTTTGTGGCAACCCCTGAGATATTGGAACATTGCTATCATGTCACCCCTAGTCCTTCTTTTCATTAAACTAGACATATCCAATTCTTTATATGTTTTATCCTCCATTCCCCTAATCATCTTTGTTGTTCTTCGCACTCTTTCTAGAGTCTCAATATCTTTTTTACATCATGGTGACCAAAACTGGATGCAGTATTCCAAGTGTGGCCTCACCAAGGCATTATAAAATGATATTAACATTTCACGTGATGTTGATTCTATCCCTCTGTTAATGCAGCCTAGAACTATGTTGGCTTTTTTTGGTAGTTGCAGCACACTGCTGGTTCATATTTAAGTGATTGTCCATTAGGACTCCAAGATCCCTCTCACAGTTACTACTATTGAGCGAGGTACCACCTATACCAGTGATGGCTAACCTTTTAGAGACCAAGTGCCCAAACTGCAACCCTACACCCATTTATTTCTCGCAAAGTGCCAACATGGCAATTTAACCTGAATACTGAGATTTTAGTTTAGAAAAAACAACTCGTACATTAACATCTTTTGTCTTAAAAGAAAAACACAATAACAAAGCTTTCAATGATACAAACAACTTTTTATTGAAAGGTAAAAGTTTGCATTTGGCATGCTTTTGAACAATTAATGTGATTTTTGCTGTTGTATGCATGCTGATAATTTGTCTAACCTTGGCTCATACTTTGTAAGTTTGAAAGCAACACATGCCGCACTCAGGTCATCTGTTAGTCTGTTTCTGGTGTCAGATTTGATATAATTCAAAGCTGAAAACAGCTGCTCACAAGCATAAGATGATCCAAACAAAGTAATGAAAGCAATCCCAAGTGCTTTCATTGGCTTAAAATTATTTGGCAGAGAATTCCACATTTTAAGGATTTCATTTTCAGAACTAACTGTGCTGTCCTTTGTCATCCTTGTTTTTGCAGGATTGTTCTCAATAAGAGCAAGGCATGCTTTGGCTCCATTTTTAGAAAGAAGGGGCTTGGGAAATGGCTTTTTCCTGGTGAAAACAAGCTTCTGAGCCCTGATGCTGGCAGAGTGAGGCAGCAGAGGTCAGAGCAGACCCCTCCCCTTGCTTCCCCAAAGCCTCCCTTCACTAACCTCCTTTCCAGCTCTGTTCTCCACCACCGTGTGCAGGGCAACAAAAGAAGCTTGTGGGACCAGCGGTTAAAAAAAAAGTTCAACCAGACCTTCCAACTTTGCGAGATCTTTTTTTTTCACGAGAAGTTGGAAGGTCAAATTGATCTTTTTTTTTTTTTAGTTCCACAAACTTCTTTTGTTGCCCTGCACATGGAGAACGTAGCTGGAAAGGAGGTTAGTGAAGGAATGTGGTTGCCCTGGGGTGGGTGTTAGGATTTGGCATTGTGGATGACCTGGGGTGTGGTGGAGGTTAGGGTTTGGCATTATGGATTGTGGAGTGTTTGTGCTCTGGTGGGGCTATTCAAAATGCAGGGATTCCATGCATTTTGAAGCATGATATGTGACTGCACAGAGAGGAGCGCTCCGTTTCTCAAGTGCCCCATTCCAGGCATACAGAGCTTGAAGTCTCTGCCAGATCTCTGTTGGGATAAAGTATTTTAGCTCCTATAGAGCACTTCCAAACACAGCCAGTCCCTCCGTTTGGAAGCGCTCCATAGGTGCGGAAACATTTTTTTATCCCAACAGATATCTGGCAGAAGGCTCCATTTTTCAAGCCCCCCCAATCCAGGCATACAGAGCTTGCAGTCCCTGCCAGATCTCCGCCAGATATGGCAGAGACTGCAAGCTCCGTATGCCTGGAATGGGGCACTTGAGAAACGGAGCCTTCTGCCAGATCTCCATTGGGATAAAAATGTTTCGGCACCTATGGAGTGCTTCCAAATGCAGGGACTGGCTGCGTTTGGAAGTGCTCTAGGAGCTAAAAGACTTTATCCCAACAGAGATCTGGCAGAGACTGCAAGCTTTTTGGCTAAGTTTTCACAGGAAAAAGTCATTTCTCAAGCCCCTTCCTAACCAAAACAAGCCTCTGGAGTGAGCACACCTCACCCTTTGGATAAGTTTTTGCAGGAAAAAGCCATTCCTCAAGCCCCTTCCTAGCCAAAACAAGCCTCCGGAGCGAGTGTGCTTGCTCCGGAGGCTTGTTTTCGCAGGATTGCTCTTAAGAGGCTTGTTTTGCCTAGAAAGAGGCTTGTTTTGCCTAGAAAGGGGCTTGAGAAATGGCTTTTTCCTGCGAAAACCTAGCTGAAGAGTGAGGCGTGCATGCCCACAAAGAGGGCTCTGAGTGCCCCCTCTGGCACACGTGCCATAGGTTCGCCACCACTGTCCTAGACTTATTGCTGGGATGGATGTTCAACATACTCCATGATTTGCAATCCAACGGTGCTTTCTAGTGTAATTCAATCTGTTTGTCACCTCTAAGGTCATAGTTGGCATAGGGCAACATTTCTTAACCCAGCAGTTTTAAGATGTATGGACTTCGATGCTAGCTGGAGAATTCTGGTAGTTGAAGTCAACACATCTTAAAGTTGCTGTGATTAAGAAACACTGTTATAGACTAAGGATACCTGCAGGAGCACCTGTCTATGATCATTTCTGATCATTTCTGATGAGTACTGGCAGAGCTGGCATGCCGCAGGTCCTTTCTATTAGGAATTGTGACTTCTCTTTGTGGCACTGAACTTATGAACATCATCCCTCTCTAGTGATATTTTATAAAGCAGTTTGAGACATCCCATTCTTATAAGAAAGATGGGATAAAAATATTTGTCTTCACAATTTTATGTATTGCTTTCTTGGTGTTATGCAGCTTTCAAAAACTACCTCCTTGATTAAAAAATCATTACTTCATCAGATTTTCAATTATTTTGCATTACGTTTTAATAATATGAATTTAATCTCAGGTTTAATTTAAAAGGTATAGTAGATATAAAGCACCGATCACTTATCTATAGATTTTAAAAGGTGCTGTGATTATTATATTTCTTGATGTAGTTTCACAGGCATTTAAAAACAGTTATGAGCATCCTTAGTTTCTTTACATAGCAGTTGTGTTTCTAAATTCATTTTAAGGGTTTATATCATTTTTGCTTTTCTCTTAAAAGAGAACACAACAATTGCAAGCCAAAGGAGGAGCTTCCCAGCTTCATTTTGGACCAGTTCTTATCAAACTCCACCTCCACCATCTTTAAGTGGAATTCATCATGATTTTCCCATTACTATACCAAGCACCTTTTCAGTAGCAGATCCTAACAGCTGGCCAGGACATACGTTGCATCAGACTGCTCTACCTACTCCATCTAACATGCCAGAGTCTTGGCATTATCCTTTAGCATCTCAGATGAGCTCTTCATATGGACATATGCATGATGTGTATATGCATCACCGTCATCCCCATGTACACATGCATCATCACCATCATCCGACTTCACATCTCGACCCACGGTACAAACCTTTGCCAATGCCTTCAGTTTGTGCAGGGAAGATTCCTCCACCACAGTGTGACGCAACAAAGTCAGATCCTACTACTGTCAGCTGTGCTACCTCAGCTTGGGCAGGAGCCTTTCACGGGACAGTTGATATTGTGCCAACATTTGGATTTGAAACAGGTAAGCTGGAATTAGCTTATGGGTATTGACAGATATTTCAGAAAATATATGAATTATAGCTCTTAAATTATTGTATTTACATTCTTTCTTATTTTACAGAGTTCAAGACAGTATACTTGGTTTTTCCTATTTTATCTTCATAAAACTCTAAGACAGGTTAGAAATATTGATTGGCTTAAGATCACCATGAGCCTTTGTGATTGAAGATTTGACTTTCATAGTCCAAATTTAACATTTTTGTTTATTAGTATAAGCAGCTGTAATGAATTTTATTCCTTAATCTTGTTCAAGAATAGGATGTTCTAAATTCACATACTATAGACACGAAGGATGTTTTTTAAAATTCAATGATACGTCAGTCTTTTTCCAAACAAATCAATATACACTATAAATTTTACTCAGATAATTATTAATATAATTATGTATTTAGACTTGTAAGTAGGATTTTTTTTTGCCAAAACTAAATTTATTTTCTGACTTTTAGCTTTGAGTTTAGAAACTTCATAATCTTCAATCATTAGTGCAGTTGGGATCTGTTTCAGACTTGACATTGCCACAATTCTCCAGAATGTTGTTACCATTCTGCCTTATAATTATACAGACTAAATTCCATTGTGATAACTCAGTATTTGGAGTACATATTACATTAATATGTTTTCTGTATTTGTGCAAATGTCAAATTGTTGCATTAAACCAAAAGCTTAGTTGTTTCAATCTAAATAGATAAAAGTATTGTTAGGCCTATTTTGAATCAGTCACTTAAAGCAACTTCTTAGATTTACAACTTCTAAGAATGCTGAGTTCAGACGTTGTCCTTCAGCAGATTTGACTGCATTATTACTGTTGAAATTTTAAATTTGATGCAAACTACTGTTTGAAGTGTTGATATGCAAACTCATTCAAATCCTGCAAATATTTTTTCAA